GTTATACTCCTCCAAATCTACTAAAAAAAGATCTCATTTTTACACATTTTAAGCCGTTTGCCAATCGTACTCACTATGATTTTGCGTGATTAAGGGAAAAAAAAGAAAAAGAAGAGATCTTGTAATGGGGTTCATCTGGGTTTTTTTCTTAAGTTTCACATCGGCCAACAAAGAGATCTTGTTTTAATTGATGAATTTATAGCTTCATTGTACGGTGTATTTTTTGTTCTTTACTATGGAGAAGAAGATTGTTAGAATGAGGAGAACAATATTTTTCTTTTGATTTGAAGCCAAAAACAGATTGAGATTTGGGGCAGAGCTTTTGGCCACTTTGTTTGTCTTTAATATTAGGGTTGTTTGATTTTCTGGTTATGCCTAGCCTAATGAGTATTAAAAACATGGAAGGCAGTGTTTTAATCAAGTGGGCTCTTCTTTTATAATTTGTTCACAAAACTCTCACTCAACGAATTTGACTATTATAGTTTTTGCTAAAATGGGCTGCCTTTTTCTGAATGCAAAAGCCTTTCCCAAGAATTTCCTAGAAATAGAAAAAAAAAAAGAAATGCAAACAGAGAGAAATAAAACAAGATTGATTATGGAAATGGCATAATTGTCACCAAATTTCATAAGTTTTTTTGGTTGTATCTGAAGTTGTTGTGAGATGCTGTCTTCTTTACCCCTTTCACCTGTAAACAGGTACTCCAAATGGAGAAATCATTCAAGAAATCGAAAGATAAGCCAGGTCAGGAGTTATATGAGGAGCTTTCTGTTAAGTTCAGGTAAGCTAGAATTCTTGCACTAAGCTAGAATTCTTGCACTGGCTTTGTCCATACGAGTAGTGTAAAAATGTTTCCATTTGTGCTTTGTGACAAAGAAAGTTGATTTGCATTCGAAGTTGATATATCCTTATGTGCTTATTACACAGTTCTTCTCATCACCGTTCTGAAAAGCCTCCCATAAAATGGGAACAGGTAATTTTTTATCATGATCTTTCGTTTGTTTTATCTTTTCTCTTAGGTTGTGAAAGCGTAATTATTCTCTTGCGAAACCCCATGTTTCTTACATTGCAGGTGCAAGCTTGGTTTCAGAACAAACAAACAGCTTTGTCAGCTGAAGTTGTTCCTTCTTCAGCCGATGAACCAAAGGTTGGTTCAAAGGCGGTGATAACTGAAAAAAGAACTAAAGGTTGCGTATTCATTACCTTCAAAAGATCAGATGATTCACTCCCTCTTTGCTAAATCAGTTATTATGATTTGCAGTAATCACATGTCAATTTTTCTATTTTTTTATTTTTCTTCCACATTATCCAGTTATGCTTTCTGTTCTTGTGGTTTGATTTTCAATATATATTGTCATCATTTTACATATACATTTTTTTTGTTTGTTATTCGGTGCAAGCTCCAAGTCTAGATACCATCCATATACGGCATTTCTATTTTTGATATTTTTAATTTGGCTTGTCTTATGTCCACAATTTAGCTGAAAAAATCTAAATTCATTCCAGCACCAACGATTTCTGCCAGTGAAGCAGCTAAAGTGCTCCCAGACCTGATTTTTGAAGCTCAATCAGCTAAGGATAATGCATGGTGAGCATTCAACTGATACTTTAAAATATCTGCTCTTTTTTTTTTTTTTTTTTT